TAGCCTTTGCTTCGGCTTTGGCATCAGGCTTGACCTTCTCATGCAAGTACGCGCAAGAACTGCCGTGCACACATCCGGAAGGCATCTGGAAGAACACGCAAGGCGTTTTCGCCTTGTCCTCCTTGCTCAAGCCCTTGCCTTTACCTTTCCCCTTTTCACCCTTGCCTTTATCACCTTTGCCACCTTTACCCTTAGGGTCACTCTTTGATGACGAAGGATCAGCGGGAGCCGCCGGAGTCTCCTTAGGAGGTGGTGGCGGAACCGTTGCAGCTCTAGCAGGGTTTGCTGGAGGATTCGGCTTCTCCTTGGGATCTTTCTTCCATGACTTTGGCATCAACGAAAGCTCAATGGACCCGGCATTGGTGTCTTCTCTTTCCTCGACGAGGTGCTCTTGCAACCTTCCCCAAAGGAAGTCGAAATCACGAAGTTCCGAATTGTATGCAGAGCGTTTGATCTCATCGATGGTCCTTTCAAGCTTTCGAACGTTCCTCAACCGATGAAATAACATTCACCTAACATTCTCTAATTCGGCCAGTCGGCAGGGTCAATGGAGTTCAGGGTCTTCATGACTGTACCACTAAACTCTTGGAGATCTTTCAACGAAAAACCATTGAATTCTACCTGAAAGATGCTTTGCGATGTGAACAATGAACCACGAGTACGATCGAGATCGAAGTGTCGAGCGATCATGTACAAAATCATCCTACCCCCGAGGGACTGTGGACTGACGTGTGCACCGCTCAACATAACCCTGGACTTTGAACAACAACTCAGGGCTTGACCGCACATTCTTGAGAAGCTCAGATGCAAGCCACCTATCAAACCTTGGGATTAGGCCTGATGAACTCTGGCATTCCTTCTCCTGACCTACCTCGAAAGCCGTTGCAGCCCACTTGGAAAGGTATTCATTTGACGAGATGTCCAAGCGGCCGCATCAGAAAGAAGTTCGTCTTCCAAGCTCGAAAGTCTGCAGCACTCTGGGGAACCACTTCCAGTTTGGTGTGCAACAAGGCTCTAGAATCAACAATCTCCCTTTCTGAGGCGTGCGAAGGCGATTCTGAAATCAATTCTTCTTCATCGTCGTCCGACCCTTCACCCCCTGATCGATTGGATCGGGCGGACCTCCCGGAAAGCCTTTGCCAACACGAAGTCCGCGAGAAGGTCCTGCAGGAGGCGAGGATGAATGGACAACTGCATCATGCGAACGATCGAACAAAGGTCGAGGCTCACGATTTGGATCCGTGCTATTTCGGCTTGATTCAAGTGTCAACATTCTGGAACTGAGTGATTGAACAGCTTCCATAATCGACTCCAACATTCTGTTGCCTCCTTCGGTGTCCTTGGGCGAAGATGCATCAGGCACAGGCTTCGGAACGAAAGCAGGTGCAGGCGATTGGATATGACCGCGGCGCTTGAAGCAGCCAGTCGGGCCTCCAGAGATGAGATACGATCTTGTCGAGACGAAGACTCTTGGCAAAGACGCTGGATTTCTGAATCTTTATGGCCTACCAGGTTGAGGGACTTTTGGTTGAGGTCGGACAAACGGTCGATCTCATCCTTCGCTTTGCGAAGTTGACCCTCAAACATGGACTGGTTGAACTTGATCTGGTTCTCAAGGGTTTGCTTTACCTCTTGGACGGCTTCATGCAAGCTTGTGATCATGACATCTTTCTCAACATGACCGGATTGGAGCACCTCATTTTGGCTACGGAGCTCTTCAACCAGGGACGTCAGGTGACCGATGTGAGCTGTGGCTTCCTGAAAGACCTGTTGGGCGACACCTTCGAAGTGCAAGGCCCTGGAGTCAGCTTCCCCGATAAGTCGTTGAGACTCAGCTACAACACGACCGAACTCTGCATGATCAATACCAACATATGCCACCTGGACCGTGTTAAAAGACCGGGCATCATGGAGGTGCAACTCTTGGGTCAGACTTGATGGATTGGGCATGACCTCATCTTCATCAGGGCTCTGGATCCTAGGCTGGCCAACTGGTCTCGGGAGTAACCCACTTGACGAAGGCAACGGCTGACGATCAGCAATAGCCGGAACCGATGGTTGACCGATGGAAGACCCTTCCGCTTGAGATTGAGGACCTTTGGGCATGTTCTTGATTACTCTACTCAAAGATCTTCTTGGAGGTTTTGATCCTCTTCGACTACCGTGCGGAGTTCCTGAACCCTGGGACGAATGAGATTGAGATCTGCTCCTAACCGCAACTGCCAAACCACCAACAGTAGTGTCTGAACTGACGTTCAATGATGATGACTGTTCTTCTGACATGACTCTGGGTCAGTAACCACTCTTAACAACCTAAATGCACAACAATGCAACCGATCGAACGACTCGCGAACTCAAGGCAAAATGCACTTTTATACTCCTGAGGCGCTAAAGCAGCCGATTAGGGTTCGACGAACGCTCAACGGGATGCACTTCCCGGAGCAGCCTTAGGCACGCGATAGGCCTGGCTTGGATCTTCGGCCAATGAGAAGGTGCGAATGAACGTCTCGCCTTTCTCAATGGCGTAGGCTGACGAACAGGACCAATCGTAAAATTGATGTGGAGCAACAATCTCGGCCCTTGGCTTCCTTACCTGAAAGGCTACCTGGCCAGCATTCCAGAAACTGTTCACGATCTCCGGATTGTCGTCGTAGATGAATGCAAGGCCTGACGAAAGGGCCTGACAAGCTGCAAGCTTGCCTGCTGGACCACAACGCTGCTCGGTGATGAGGATGTAACGAACGGGCAAATTGGACAACTTTGTAAGATACAAAAGATTCTCCAAATTGGCCTGCGAACGCTCAATTTGCGAGCAAATGATCAACTCTGTTGTGTTCCCTGCTCGACCGGCCAAAGTTCGAAGATGGTTCAACGACTTAATGTGCCTCGGAGGAATCCCGTCTCCCGTTGGCCTTTCGGCGTAATGCCGGGAATGCCTGTCCGTGTCGAGCACTTGATTCCAATCCCACACAAGGAGATGCTGCTTGATGCGAACAAATGAGCTCTTGTCAACTGAACGACACTGGCCACCTTGGACAATAAATACCTTCAAACTATCGTGAAATGGGGAAATCTGGACCCTACCAGTCTCCTCAAGTTCAATGGCCTCGTCCTCAATGACAATGATCGACGACGGATTCACTGCTGCTCCTCCTGAACTGGATGACTTTGAAATCAAATCGAACGGCTAAAACGGAGGTGCCTTTGGTGGCGGATCTAATCCATTCGAAACCTCTGTTGATGCCTTTGGAGGCTCAATAAACTCTGTCGGACCTGACGGAAGCTCAATCACCTCAGAAGACTCCACCAACGAAGATGACTCCACCAACGAAGATGAACTGTGTGCAACTGTACCCAACACTGGAACAAAAGGCAAATCCGGAATGTCGTCCTCCACCAAAATGGATGGAGCCTTGGATGGAACAACACGCTGAGTCGGAGCAACGCCTTCCGCTTTGGGTTCCACCGATGATGCACTCCGAATTACAGCTGCCTTAATTATCATTATATCTTTTGACTCTGGCAATGATTTCTTAGGTAATCCTTCAACAGGTAATCCTTCAACAGGTTTTAGAGGTGGACCAACAACCGTGATGTCGACTTTGACGGCACGACGAGAGATGCAACCTTGCTCAATGCCACTGTTGTTACTTTTCCTTGCCAAAACTTTGCCGCTGCTGGCCTAATCATAACCTTTGGAGGCGATGCTATTGGTGACGAGCTCAAAGCTTCCGTCGGCACGGCCGAAATAACCCGTCTAATCGGCACTAGCGGTGGGATCCGGATAGGTGATAATAGTGTCATTAACGTCGGAACTAACGCTGAGGGCGTCTCTGCAGTCACAACAAGCTCTAAAGGCGTCTCTAAAGTTTCAACAAGTAATGCGGGTGTATCTAAACTTCCAACTAATCAAGGGTGTATAACATCAGACCAAGGGTAAATACCAAGGGGGTTAAATGGCAATAAAAACGCGGCGATTAGAAAGACCTTGCAATTCACGCCACTCAACACTTACTCGACCCTAAAACCAAGCTAATCGAAAAATAAGCCTAACCACCTCAACCGTCATCACACTCAAGGGCCTAGCCTTTGGCAAAACCACCACAGGTCCAACCCCCCTCCTATACACCTTCCTCGTCAAAACCAGAACTTTTGTTATCCCAAATACGAGGAGTATAAAGCGGCCTTAATTATCCATCTATATACATGCTACGCACCTCTAGCCGTGCGACTACGTTTTACAGCGGTCCCAAACCTAATCCCTCGCTCTTTTTAATAAGAACGAAGAAGATCAGCGTCCATACACGCGCCAAGCAAATAAATGTAAAGAATACCATGCCCCCAAAAATAAAAGAATAACAATTAATAAAACCGATACGACTAATAACCACTAAAAATAAAAACCAACCCAACAACAATCAAACAATCAACACAAATTAAATACACGCCGTAACCGCGACGAAGCAAAAGACGCACCTTTTACCACTTAAATCAAAAAAACTATAAATTATTCATGGATTATACTTATATATAAAATATACTATACCCAAGAAATTTCAAATAATATATATTCACGACTCCTCCCATCCATCCCAAAATCCAAATAAATAACCCTCGCGCCGAATCCTCGGATTTCTAAAACTAAATCCTAAATTCTCCAAACTTAAGACCGGACTACTCAAATAAACAAATAATAACACAATCGAACATCAAAATAACAACATAAAAATAACTAATCAAGACGAAAATTCAATACAAAATCGATCGAAACATAACACCGCCCCACAAATTCCAAATCACGCGCTACTCTTAAACTAAGATAGCGCTTATAAATTTATCATAATTATCGTAATAAAAAAAACAAATATTTATCGTAAATATCGAATTCATAGTAATATATATATATATAATAAATCGAAGAATTACAATTTTATATAATAAATATATATATATATATATTCCTTCATTAAATATTCTATTTAGACAAAATCATTTTATTTTTCGATCCATTATTTGTGACAAATTTGACCTCATTACATTTGATGTTTATGATACAATGAAATATCCATACATCTCCAGATACCGATTTGAAGCCCCGCCACTGACTCCTTGTCATTGCGATGCCAGGAGACTAAAATCGCCGCAGCAATTGGAATAGTTCCCGCGACAGTCGCGGTGACAAGAGCACCTGACTTGCTAGGTGAAAGCGTAACTTGCCAGGCTTCGAACATAAAACTTAGAACAGGAAAAATTATATCTTAAATCGCACACTTTTATTAGGACCTAGGCAAAAACCTCAGCGACCCGCACCTGCCATTCACGCCTCGAATGCCACAGCCCATGTCGCTGCACGTGGATGGCCTCGAAGCTGAAGGAGCAGAATCAGTCAAACTTATTGAAACATATTGAAACAATGTTTGAAGCAGGCTCGGGCTGAACCGCTTCTTTAGCTCTGTGTGGAACCTCTCCTTGAAACCTGGACTCGTCTTTACATCCAGGGCCCTCGCAGGTTGTCATTTGTGCGGACGCCATACAAACGTTCCGCCCAAAGCATCACCTCAGCCATAGCTTCTAGACCAGCCTTCCCCATTTCTGAGCATTGTCTGGATGTGATTACGTGGCTGTTCCTGTCCAGTGAACTCTGCACTCAACAATCTAAGCAACTAAACCCCGATTTTAAAACGTAGTCTCATGACGCATCACATCACCATACTCTGCAACCAGTGTACAAATCAGCTGTCCCGTGTTGGGACAGTTCAGACTTGCGATCCTCCAAGGGCACTTTGTACACATTTGCTTGAGACTCAGTCCGGTCAAGTTGGAGCCCACTTGGATCAAATTCATTTGAGAGTGTTGAACACTTTGAGTGTTAACCATGAACATTGGCACTGCTCTGATTACGTGCCTCGTTTGCACAAGCATGCGCAAGCATCTAGCTATAGTGGCAACAAAACCTCAAAGCTTCCGGAATAAGCCGACAAGCCAACAAGCTGCTTCGCTATGTCACAGCTTTGCGGAGGATTCCAGCTCACGTACTCGCATATCCCAGAGTCCACTCCTCAAGTGCAGCAGCATGAACTCCTGTATTGCCTAGGCATTTGGCAAGGCAAGAAATCACATTGATCTTTCCATGAATTGCTATGCTCTATGAGTATGTATCCTGCAAGCATACCAGGCTTTGACGGGCTCAGCGACTCAAATCAAAGAGTGGACAATTTGCTTCAAACAGAACCCCCTCAACAAGGTCTTCGCATGCTTTCGTGTGTTGCTCTCTCGAAGTTTGCTTCTGTGTTCTCGCAAGCTGGTTTGTAGTCTACTTCCAACGGATCCACTTGGCTTTGATTCGGATTTCACCGAGATGCAGAGGTTGCTTCCAGAAGGCCAGAACTGATTTGTGTTTCGCCAAACTCCGCAGCTGTCTGGCTTGTACCATGGATGGCTCTTCGAGAGGTCCCAGATTCGAGAAGTGAATGAAACCAATCTGTATAATACACACATGTATATACTGTATATATATATATATACACATGGATTTATATACGTGTATAATCATGATACTACATCTATATATATATATATCATTATATATCCAATGACAAATAAGAACGACCTTGACAATGCTCTTCTGACAAGCTGTGGAATCTGGATGGCCCAGCAACCCTGCTTTGTTTCTTTAATTTACCTTGCATAGTCGGCTTACATTGTGTTGCGATGAGGAAGAACCAGAATTTCACTCGAAGTCATCCCCGTTGCAGTCACAGTCACCTTAGTTCCTTGGGCCCCCAACACATGACACGGTCAACACTCTTGCTGATTCTACTCTTACCAAGGGCACAAAGCCATGGTGGTCCCCTTTATCCCGCTAGTCATGTGTTCAGACCACGGAATAAGAGATTCTGAGTGCCTTTCCAAAACGCCCACTCACTGTATTTGAATAGGCACATTCGGGGAGGACCTGGGATCGGCTGCAATGATTGCTGTTTTGGTCCCTTGCTATCTTCGCACCAGGATTAAGATTGCTCGAAAGCTAATACAAATAGTCAGATCGAGAAACCTTCCGCACATCTTTGCCGGACACGCCATCCCACACGAGATCACACAAGTCGTGTCAAACAGTATGCTCAATTTCGGAGAATGGCGACCATCTAATTATGAATGTCGAAGCTACTAAGGGCTCCTGTGGCGTTACTACTAGGAACAAGAAGCTACTAGGAACAAAACTTGGATCTTTCAGACCGGAAATCGTGATACCTCCCTTGCTCACTTCTTCAACGTACTCTGACCGCCTTGGCCATACTCCAAGCCGAGCGAACTGCATCTGCAATCTGGGCGACCTCGGTGGCATCAAGAAAGTCTTGCTGGGCAAGAATAGGAAGTGCTTGACATCGCCCACCGATTTGTGCAACATTTGGCTTCAAAGAAGGTGTCCTCTGCAAGTGCTGAATCCTTACATATTTAACAGTCTGAACTTATCCCACAACAATCCATCCAAACCTTCGACAAATTTGAGCAAGCAGCACTGAGCTGCGGCAAAGGCTGCTCTAAACCAACGCCAACTCCCAAACGATTCACATGAGATGCCTCGACAGGAGCTCGGAAAAAGAGTTAAACAAACATGATTGTCAGAAGAAACATGAAAGCAACAAAGTGCAAAGGAAGAAGGAAGGAAGAAAGGTCTAAAGACAAAACACACAGGAAATAGGAAAACACTCTAAAGGAAGAAACACAAAAAACATAGAGCGGTATTGCAAGGGGAAGCGAAAGACTTTGAGGGTAGCAAGTACTTGCAAGGTATGTCCAATCTTGGTCCTAAAAATGCCAGGGGTCAAACACTCCTGAATCCTCTTGAAGCAATGCAACACATATGAAACATGCTTGTTGTCTTGCACCACACTTCAAGCGCAACTCCAAGGCACATTATGAAATTGATCGCCAAAAATTGGTGTGATGACCTTTGGCGAAGATCATCCATTTGCACAGTGATGTGGTGATGATGTGATGTGTGCCAAATAATTTTATTGGCCTTGTATATACAGCTGTTGAGGTATTTGGCATCCTCGTAACATAAGACCTGCTATTCAATGCACACCCGAAAACAAGTCAGGGAAGCTCTGAGAATTCCTAGATGCGCCGACACCTTGACAAACACACTAGTATATCTAGTATGCCTTGATGGAATTTCGTGAGACAAATTCAGAGCTTGAAACCAAAGCAGCCAATTGTTGTACTTGCTGGGCGAGGCGCTCCAGGCACTCCAGCACGAAGGGCGGCTTGTGTAGTGCCCAATCCCCCGTGATGCACTACACAAGAGCAACGGGGGAATAGCCAGGTGTGAGGTGCCTGCAGCCGATGCAGAACAATGCAGAACCTACTGTTGCAACAACAATTGCGGCTATCTGACTTTTGTGGCGAGTTGTGGCATGTCAGTGAGAAGCACAACCGAGTTTTTTCCAGAATATTTTTTCGAGCATGATGTGAAATTCAAATGATGTGAAATTCAAACATATCCACACTCCAACTTCTAGAGTTTGGGTGCTCGCTTGCATGAAGCGTGCACTAGCTGCCAGCTTGGCCCAAAGGCATTGTCACCACATCATCTCCCCTTTCAAGCTGACATCTGCAAGTGGTGGAAGTCAACATGTTTCAACCCATCAAAATGCGTCAGGGTGGTTTGCTGGCTGACGGCGGGTGAAAGAGGCAAATTAAAAACACAGATAGATCACAAAAACAAGCAGAACTGAACAACTGTCAAAATCAAAGTTGTCGCGGCATGAAATCATCCAAAGCTACGCGAACAGTAGTGAAACTATCTGAAACTCATAAGAATGACGGACACAAATGAGCGTTGTGAGGCTGACTGAGAGGTGGATGAGCCTGGAGTGGAACCGCCTAAGGGATGCTGAATATAAGACAGCAAAAGTCCGATGAACCTGGACTTGGATGAGCCACGTTGCTACTTGTTTAAGGAGAACTCAGAAAGCTGATGCACAGTCAGTCAGCTGGGCAAAGGTAGTCTCGATTAAACACAGAATGCTCGACATCTTGACAAGCAGGTACGGTATAGTGCCTCCGCAACAAAGCACACATTGTGGGCTGCAAACTCAGCCTCAATTTGGCTCTCAAGGGTCAGCCACAGAGATACATGCTAAGCTATTCATGGACAAAAACGTTCTACAAGCTCACTCAAATATCAAGTGTCCAGCAAGGGGGCTGTCCTATTCAAACACTTGCTTGCAAGGTATGTTGGAACCACATAACTTGGCTAAGCAGCAAGTTCTTGCCAATCCTCACCAATTCTGCATAGCTTTCCTTGCCAAGCAAGCCACAACTGAGGTGGCTCTTCATCGAATCCCTCCGGACTCCCTGGTGACTACTTTTAACTGGCCAGGATGCCTTTCGACAGGAGGTCTGCCACCTCATCCAACTTGGCCCAACCGCCCAAGATGACGCCATGCATGTTCAAAGACTTCAAAACCCGCAGTGCCTCGGCCATGGGGCCCTGCATCAAAACGTATCATGGTAGTTTGCGCAGAGATGGGACCAAAACTACCATGCAGGCATTCTCAATGTCAAGTCTACTCTCAACCCTTCCCAATCAATCAGTCCTTCGACCGCTGGGCACCCCGATGAAAGGACCGGAGATGATGTAAACAGTGCATTTGTAAGGCTTGTGTCACGTGGAGATACGGAGATACGATTCTGTGAACGGCATCAAAGGCGAGAAACCAAAGCAAGCATCTTCTCAGGTGAAAGCCCAAAGGCAATCATTGATCCCCAGCCCATTGCAATAGCACCATCACCCTTCTCCACCAAGAACTCCTCACTTGCGACATGCTCGAGTATACCAGGATTTTTCTGGATTGGTGGAGTTTTCTTTTCAGTTTCTTTTGTCCATTTTTGATTGCTTGATTGTGTCTATGTTCTGCAATCTATATAGTGTGAAGGAACACATAGCATTACAGAAAACAGAATTGGGTATGGCTAGGTGGATTCGGTGGATTGTTCCTTTTAGAAATGAATCTAGGAACCAAACGAATAGCGTGAGCTATCATGCCTCCCGTGGCTAGCAGCGTCCTACTTAATCGCTACGAGCCTTACTTATATATTTAAGTAAGCAATTTTACTAAGAGTGAGGGCAACGTGGGCGTTAGAAACATCACGAATACCAAAGACAACAAAGTCTTAAAAACTCTGCAGCCGTCTTGATACCTTTGCCTTGACCCATCTGCCAACTCCGGCGGGTTCGTCCTGCAATTTGCTAGGGACTTCTGCCCAGTCAGGAAGATCCCATGTTCCCGTCTGCCTGAACGACAACGATCGTAACGTAGACGGACGTGGCAACGCTTTTTCACGTCAACCCAAAAGGTGCAATCTGATTGCATTGTCACATGGGATAACGGAGAGGAGCGAGCAAGAACAGGAACAAATCCTGGCTAATCTAGCAACCTACTTGCCACCTGCCCGTGTAGCTAGTGAAAGAATCGCACACTAATGAGCAGCACAATATAGCATGTCCCTTTCCGATCAGCCCTGACCCCACAAAGACCTGAGGTTAGC